GGGTATATGCGGGGCAATGTACACTCTCATTAGATTATATTTTTGATCATATTTTTGCCAGCTCTCATAGTGAGCTAAAGGCATTTTGTTTAAAGAAAGGCTTAAATTTTGTTGTAGATTTAAAAACCTGTACCTCCAGGCACTCCTTCCCTGGAAGTCTTTTACATTTAGTCCACTGCCATCTGGACATCTCTTATATTTTATAACACAACTTTAATCTACACTGGACTTCAACAGCCTAAAATTAACTTTGAAATTTTTTTTTTATGTGAGTCTCACAATAACCTAGTTCAGATATTACTTTCCTTATTAGATAAAGAACACTGAGAATAGAGAATACAGACAGGTTAAATGACTTGACCAAGATAATAAATAAGGCTGAGAGAATTCAAGGTCTTCTGATGCCAAATCCTATCCTTATTTAGTCCCAAGTAGTTTCAAAACTGTGCTCGGATATATCCAAGGACTCAGGAAATGTCCTATTCATTTAAAAATTCTTAATTTAAAAATATATTAAGAAGCAACACTCTTTCAGATGCATTTTTATATTAAATACTTCATAATCCGTTGTCGTGCTTCCAAATTAACTTGTCTCTAAATAGGTCCCAGGATAAAACCCTATTGCTTTCATCATCTTCAAATGTTAAGGACACTTAGAAATGTGTCGCTGATGAGGAAGGATATAATTCTGCACGAGTCTTTCAGAATATTTGGGCGAGGATCCTACTGCAGGGGTAGGAAGAGTGTAGGTGCACCTGCTCAACAAGGCTCCCTTCGTGGTTGACTGCTGCGATGTGGGACAAGCCAGCCAGTGACATATCGTGTGGGAACAACATCATGATATGTGTAGGTTTAGCAGTTATAAGCATCAGAAGCTTGTCTGATTTTTGTATTTATAGTAAATGATTTCGGGATTTGTTTTCAAAATAAAAAGTTCCCATTACTTTTTTGATTTCCTGCAGCAGTTTAATTTAAAAGTGAAAGCACTTGTCTCTGTGAATCAAGACTTTTTCCTTATATTGAGCAACCAAAGCAAAGTGCAAAAACAAACTGGATTATTGAGGCTATAGCATAATAAAGATATACATTTTTAATATAACTATACCTTCGACAATGAGAAAACACTCCTTTGCGTTATCTACTTATATCACTTTCCATGTATTTTATATAGTACGGTTTTTCATTGGGTTCAGATTTCATTTGAAAAAAGGATTATGCTGCTATACTAAAACATGTTTGAGAACTGTCTTACCATGTTGTCCTCCTATCAGTGACCCTGCTTTTGGTTTTCAAATTTCTCAAGATTTTTATAATTCTGTTGATGATTAGGAATTTGGTTTGCCTTTGATTAAAAAATATATATCTAGGAAGTCTAGCAACCTTAAAATATTTGAAAATGTTTAGAAGGAATGACCAGTTTTTTGTCTTGAAATTCTTTAAATTATGTGACTTCTGAGTCATTTCCAAATATAGGCTTAGTAAAAGAAAAATCTATTTCCTTTTGCTCTAGTACTTTTGAATGATGAGCCAGGTTTTGCAGCTTTTAAAATCCTAGGAGTAACAGAACGGAAACCAGTCTTTTTAGTTAAAACATAGGTTTTATGAAGCTCCTTGTTTATTTGGGTGAAAATTGGTTAAAAAGGCTAGGACATGGTTGGATCGATATAATTTTGTCACGCAACAATTACTAGAGTTAATACTTGATATGCAAAAATGAATTCATGATCCTTGCCTTTGAATTTAAGAGTCAAAAAGAAAAATAGGTGAGCTGAAAATTACAGTGTAATCTGATAAATGCCATCACAGAGAAACGGAGTGTACTATCTTTGTAGGCAAGGGGTGGGGGGGGCCTGGAACCCTTAAAATATATGGCAGTTGGGGGATCAGTGAATGTAGTTCACTGTGACTAAGGAGTAGGGTGTTTTGAGGGAAGAGGTGTAAGAAAAGACAGGATGTTGTTAGCTTGGTGGAGGGGCAGCTGATAAATTTGGAGACGTAAGTTGGTCTACATCGTGAAGGGCAAGTGTGCCCTTTCGAACAGTTTAGACTTCCTGTGTATGCTGTGGAGATTTGCAGTCAGGAAAGCCTTGTTTGGGGAAGAAGACGCTGGAGGATGGATTTAGTAAAGGGAGAAATTGGTTCATGTATTCAGCAAACATTTATTGAGCACCTGCTGTGTGAAAGTAACTATTCTAAGCACTTGGGATACAGCAGTGAACAAAAAGACAAAGACCTCTGCCTTAGGGAGCTCACCACTTCTGGTGAATGATGATAGACAGCATGCCAATAAACAGTAAATACATGAATCATATGGTATATTAGGAGGTAGTGAATGCTAAGAAAGAAGAAAAAGTAGGCTAAGGGAGTATGAGAATGCTCCCTAGGGAGTAATTGGAATGTAAATAAAGTGGCAAGATGTCCAGTTCAGAAGCTGTTACCTTGACCCAGATGAGGAATGGTAAGGACTTAGGCTTACTTGTGGGACTTTATTTAGAATGGAGAGAGAATTGGGGCACCTGGGTGGCGCAGTCGGTTAAGCGTCCGACTTCAGCCAGGTCACGATCTCGCGGTCCGTGAGTTCGAGCCCCGCGTCAGGCTCTGGGCTGATGGCTCGGAGCCTGGAGCCTGTTTCCGATTCTGTGTCTCCCTCTCTCTCTGCCCCTCCCCCGTTCATGCTCTCTCTCTGTCCCAAAAATAAATTAAAAAAAAAAAAAAAAAAGAATGGAGAGAGAATAAATTGGGAGATGTAGTTTTCTTTTTCTCTTTTGACGCTGGAAACACAGATAGAAACTTGATAAAACAAACCTATAATGTAACGAACTATAAGATGAACCACCTTGTAACAACCACCCTGGTGAAACAATGAAACTTTGCCACACCAGAACCCCTTCCTTTTGCCCCACTCATCACAAACTCCTCCCTCCCCAACAACCTGACTTTTATGGTTATCACTTTCCTGCATTTCTTGATAGTTTTATTAACCAAGGGTATATCCCTCACACTAAGACACCCTAACTCAGTCTTGCCAATTAAAAAATTTTTTTGTTATTATTTTTTTTAATCTACTGGTTTTTTTCTCCTTCCTTTGGTTTTCTTACACTTTATTAACTAAAGAACAGAGCCATTTGACCTTTAAAATTTCTCATCTCCTGGATTTTTGTGATTGCGCCCTTGTGGTGCACTTAACATGTTTGTCTGTCCTTTACATGACTGATAAATTGACAGCTGGACCACTGGCTTGATCAGACTGAGTGTCTCCCCTGTGGTCATCACTGCTGGCATTAGAGTGTTCTTTCATTAAGAAGCACATAATATCTGGTTGTCTTTTGTAAAGCTAACAGCTATTTCTGCTCAGTGCCTAGAGTTAGTAATATGTTAGAGGTTGCAGAATGGTGATATTCTGATGATATCACATCTGTTTTAGTTATCAGCTAGAATACTTTTTATCTAGGAACATTTCCCCTTATCTATTATGTAATTACCCTGTGGTGCAGTTTCTATAGGAAAGGCAAGATACATGCCTTTTCCTTTATTTACCACTTTTCCAGGCAATCCATTGGTTCCCTGTCATCCTCAATTTTTATTACTCTATCAGGATTTTCTCCTTAGTGTGACCTTGTCTAGAAAGGGGGCGCTGGTTGGTCAGCATCAAGAATTCATAGCCGGTCGGCTGCTCCAGTCTCTTCAGACTTCATCTGCTGTATTCAGTTGGGCAAAACCCCTCCCAGTTTTAGCTCCTGTTCTAAAATTGGCTCATCGTATGTTCCAGTGAAAATAGTGTTGGCTATTTTGGGGTTCTCCTGTTTTCACATCCATCACATACCACACTGCTTACTTCCTTCTGCTTTTCCTGCAAAAGCGCTAATACCGTACAAGTCTTGTGGCTATTGGTTTGTCCCCAACCGTTTGTATTTTAAGTTTGTAGGGGATATCTTATGACCAAGTTTTGTTGTAAATGTTTTCCATGGGGTTTTGGTTTTCCCGTTCAGTTGCTTGGTCTGTTTTTATGTGGAAATCAGGGAGATGAAAAAACAACAACAACAACAACAACAACAACAACAACAACAGCAAAACCCCAAACCAAACAATAACTCACTGTCTCCAATGTCATGTTTCATGTTCCCAGAAAGGGGTCGGTGCCTTGAAGAGTTAGAGTAGAATTATGAATAAGTGAAGTTTCTGACTTAGAAGATCTGGTACATGGTCATTTCATAGATGAAAATTAAAAAATAGAAGAGAAGGAGCAAAGTAGTGAGTGGAAGATCAATGTTTGATTTCTTAACGTTTGAAATGCTTATCATGAGTTAACCCTAATAGAAATGCCTTCTGAAGCACTATGCTTTTAAAATTTGATAGAAAAAGCTAGATGATGAGAGATCAACACTTTGAAAATTACAGAAGCCATTATAAATTGAAGAAACTATTACTTTTGGTAAATATTACAGTGTGAAAAATGAATAGAATAGAAAGCATGCACGTGGAGATGAAGGAGACACGAATACGTATTTTGAACTAGTAATTTTATGTGTTTTCTGTAATTACGCACAACAAATGCAGGTTTGCATTGAGCAGCAATCTGACGAGGAAAAATCCATCTATTAGGGATGCAACTGGGTTTTTGGTCATTAGTTGTAAATGCCACTGTATATGTTTGACACAATATTAAGAGAATGGATTTATAAAAGCTGAGTGTTCTTCCTGCTAGAAAAATAGATATTAAGATTCATAAAGATGAAAAATCTAGATAAAAATATTAAATATTCCTAAGCTATAAGTTTTTATATGTGGAGTAGGCTGCAGTGTACCATCACAGATCCTGTATTTTAAGAATAGATGAAAAAGTCTTCTTTCTTATGAGCTGTTCTAGATAATTCTGAGGTGCTCTGACTTCAAAAAGGAATTTTTAAAATAGTGTGCACGTTTGGACACTCCTTTGTAAATGACTGACTTTTGACCTCTGTCTTTTCCTTTCTTCTTTTTCTTCTTCTTCCTAAAATTAGGCCAGTCTTCAGAGACCTGAGATTAAACTTGAATCACTAAAAGAAGATATTAAGGAATTCTTTAAAATATCAGGTTTGTAAGTTGCTTTTTTCCTCCTAATTCGTTAAGGCAAAAGAAAGAAATACTTTATTTGGAGGCAAAATTTTATCACCGGCCTTCCAGTTACTCATTCAAAATTGTGAAACAGTGTCTGGATAGGTTTCTAGTTGAGGAGAATTAGAACTTTCAGATATTTCTATAAAATGCTGCAAAAATTCAGGATCACTGTGGGAATCACTGCTTTGCAGTAACCAGTTTTAAATACCGTTTACTTCCTGATCAAAACACATCCTGAATGTGTGAAGAATCTCCCTCGCTAAGCACCTTCTCTTTTACCTTTTGTTCAGAGCTGTTTTTCCTTCTATACTTTCCCCCGCCCCTCTTCTTTTCTGTCATTTCAAAGAAAAGGAAATCCTAATTTTCTTGACAGCAAGAAGAGAGGTTCCCTATCCTAACCCTTGCACATGGAAATTGAGATGTTAAGTGGTTTACTTTTCCAGAAAAGTTCAAGTTGTTAGAGGCCAGGCTAACCGGTCTGGGGGTACCTCTAATAATGTTTCTGTTGTTCAGGAGTTTACGAAGTAGTTAGTTGTGACTGCTTACGATCTGTCTTTGTCAGGTGCCTGGCTGTTTCTTGCCCTTCCCTTGACACATCCCCCGTAGCACCAGCAGTGCATCACTTAGCTCTGCTTTGGCGTTCATTGAGCCCCTGAGCCGTGGAAGGGGCAATGGTCCTCCCATCTGGAGAAGATGGTGCGGTAGTTCTGCTTAAAAGACAGTATGTTGAGAATTTTGCTACTCAGTGTTTGTCAATGGACACAGTGGATGTGTAAGAAATAATTCCTTAATAACACTGACACAGCAATTGACAATTGATAAAGTTCTTTCACAAATGAATATGATGTCAGAGTTTTAGTGAGATATGCTTTATTACAATGTATGCTTATTTTTAAAACTAATATATTCACATGTTTTATTCTTTTTTTAAAAAATAGGTTGGGAGAAGAAACTTCAGAATGCTGTTTATAGTGAACTGAGTGTGTGAGTTTTTCCTACCTATTTTGAGATACTGTTACGTTTAGCTGTATTTACTTTGTAAGTAATGAATATAATATTGCTATGTACACTCATTATATTATTATTTCTCATTAGTATTTATATAACATTTCACATAAGTTGTTATATTTAAAAATTACAGTCTTGCCTGAGAATGAGTAATGACCATATGGGGGTTTTTACCACCAAAATTTTTGTATTAATAACTCCTTTATCCAGTATAGTTAGGGAAATAAGTTAATATTTCAGATAACTGAAGCTTATCAACATTCTTTTTATTGGTGCCATTTTGGATATTACCCTTTTTCTCTCTTTATAAAGCAACCATTCTAAATATAGTTAACTTTTTTTTTTTTCAAAATTGGTGTCATTCTTAAGAAAATCAGTGTTTTTTGTTAATCTGGATTTGTCTTCAGAATCTGTTGTGGTGTGTAAAACTATTTCTTTCTACAAAGAACATAGATCTAGAGTGTTAGCTTTTGTAGTTTATTCAATACTGCATTATTCATCTGTTATTTATTACCTACCATGGGCTAGCACTATGCTAGGCACTGGGAATATAGTATAGAACAAAAAATCAATTCCTACCCTCATGGAGTTTATAGTCTAATGGAGTTCTTATGTCTGCTGTCTTTTTTTAAAACTGCTGTTCAATGTGCCTGTGTCTCTAGCATTTTCTAGTTTCTAACACTTTTGTTTCCAACTCGCCCTTTCTAATCTGCTGTTAACTAGGAAATAAGATAATCCAGTTTATCAGAACTGTTTCTAAAGGGACTCAGACGAAGGCCTGTGGATCTGTGCTTAGACACACATTTTAAAAATCAGTATTTGCTTCTCTGCTTATCGCCATTTTCCCAGTTGGCTTACGAATTCTTAAATAACATCGTGTATAAGTGCTATCTGTCAGTTGAAGTTGACCGTAATGATACCCCTGATATCATTCCTCCAAGGAATAGATGTTTATCATGACAAATAAGGTTTTAAATTTACAATAAGTTTAGAGATGCCACAGGTTGCTTAAATGTGAACATGAGGATTTATGTATTTGACTGTGACATAGAAAGCGTATAACTGTGTGGGTCTGTGTGTCCAGTACTGGTGGACTAAAAGCATCCGGTTGTGTGTAATTCCAAACAGTGAATTTTTATCTGAGGAGATTTGACTGACGATTGCAATTTTTGTAGTGTAATGCATTCCTTAAGATGGTGGTCTGACCAGTGAGTGCCTGTTTACTTGATGGCAGGGACAGAGTTTCATTCACTGTCTTATTTCACTATCCTAACAATAGACATTAAGTATTTTTGTATAATCTGTTAAGATTTTTGAAGGAGTAAGTAGTACTACCTTTTTTGCTCGCCTGGGTTCTGAAGAAATTGAGAAAGAAGCCCAATAGGATATCAAAATCATACTTTTATTACTGATAAAGACCAGATAAAAGGTTGTAGCTTAGTGCAAGAGCAAAATGGGTCCTTTAACTGAACTCCAGAATTAACTAGACTTAACCTTCCAGTTAAATAGCATCAGTGAGCACGTTCCGTTTATTATTCCAAAATTTAAAAGTCGGATAAGGCACTAAACCTCTTCTGTGGCAAGTGAGAAAAAGCCCTGGGGGGAATCTAAGAATATTACAGTAAGGGAGCTCTTTCCACAGGGAAGACACATCCAGAGTGGGGAAGTGTTTTCGCTAACATAAGTCAGAAGAATAAAGAGGACTTGGTATACTGTGCTGCATTTTTCATTGACAGAAACCATTAGATGGACAAGTAAAGAAAACAAAAAATAAAGTAGAAGAATTTACTAGGTTAAATAATCAGAGTAGAAAAAAAGATGCCCTCTTACCTCATAAAGGTGTAGACACATGAGCTATTCAGATGATACCTGAAAATTGTTCACTTCCTTTTACCTATTTTGGTAAACACGCCCAAGATTTTTGTCCAATTCTTGTTTAAAAGAGAGAGAAAAATTTCTGTATTCTGTTATTTACCTGAAGCTTGTAATTCTAGCCGAGGTTCGTTCTTCCCACTTAAGATTGACTACTTTATTTAATTATTGTTGTGTTAATATTTAATAGATCGTTCACATTGATCGAAGGAGTATTTTATGCAAGCACTGTGCTAAGCAGTTTAAATTCATTGCCTTGTGTAATGTAATCTTCACAACAACCCTATGATTGTGGAATTCATTATTGTAACCATTTTACAGAAGAGAAAACGGAGGCTTAAACTACTTAAATAATTTACTGAAGATCGTATGGCTAGTAAATGGTAGTACTAGGTCGTAACCTCCAGCTGTCTGATTCCAAAGCACATGTGTTTTACTGCATCTCACATATGTTTATATTTTATCTCTCACCTGGATTAAAAATGTTATAAGACAAGAATTGAATTCTATATTTCTTTTAGTACCTTCTAGAGCATCAAATAAATGATTTTGAGTCAACAGATGCCAATGCTAACACGTGATAAATATTTGTTGAATTGAAGAAACTCAGTTCAGTTATTAATCCTAAACTTACTAAAAAGATTTAACTAAGACAGTCTTTACATGGAGCATGTACCTTTTTTCCCCTTAGTTTTCATTGTACTTTGTGTAGAACAGTTTATTAAGAATTAGGTGACCTATCACTTTCTTTTAAGGAATGTAAATTAAAGAAGTAAATAATCCTTTTTAAAGTCTTTCTATATAAATATATATTATAAAAACATCCCACAGTCTACTGTTATAGTAGATATATGCAAATGTCCACCATACCTTGGAGAGGTATGAATGTTGAGCAGTAGTGGACCAAAAATGGGAAGATTTTAGATAATGGGTTTCTCACACTAGACCACAAGATAGAGTAAGTCTTTACAGATATTCATGGCATTTGTTGGAAGACTCCTCAGGCAGTACGCCAGAGCACTCCCAAAATGTCCTAATCACCGTTCTTCTTTGCCTTCTTTTGAATGTTGCTTTAAATGTACTTGCTATGTGTTATGCACTGAGCTAGGAATTGAGGATAATGAATAAGCTGGATAGCCTTTGCTTTCCCGGAGCTCACATCTCTGAGGCACACACGGTTTAAGAAGGCAATTAGAGCACAATTATAGTATAGTATAGTATGGATAGTACATAGTCCAAGAGGTGCTGTGATGGGCCAGACAAATGGGGTAGGCACTTAACTCAGGTCGGGGATGTCATGATGGCTTACCGAAGGAAGCAATATTCAGATTGAAATCAAAAGCTAAGGTAGAGTAAGTCAGGGGAAGGAGTAGAGAAGAAAGGTGCTTTAGAAGGGAGCAACGGGCTCAGAGATTCAGAATTGGGAAAGTGTGGCACATTGGAGGAACAAAGTTCATGGCTGGGTGGTACAGGGCGAGGGACATGGTAAAGGACGATTCTAGATACGTGGGTAGGGATGTGCTGCTTCTTCAAGGCTTTTTAGGCAGGATCCTAAGAGCATTTGGGTGTCATTTTAGAATTTCAAGCAGAGTGGTGACATGATCGTGTCTGCGTTTTATATTCACTAAGCAATGTACTGGTTGTCCAGTATGTGCCAGGCGTTATGCTAGACACTGGAAATAGAGTCATTGGTGAATAAGGAAGACATTGCTTGTGGCTATACAGCCAGGCAAATTGGCTAATAGGCTGAAAATAGTGTGAAAGCAGGGGAGACTGCTTAAGAACCTGTTGGCTGAATACAGGCAGGAGATGTTGGTTGTCTAAAACAGTGTCAGTGGGATGAAAAAGGATGAGAAGGATTTAGAGGGATTTCAGGGACAGGAAGAGAGAAGAGTCAAGAGTGATGCCCAAGTTTCCGCGCTTTGTTCTTACCTGTCAACCTTCATCTCTGCATATAACTAAATGTGAGCTGCACAATGACAGAATTTTAGCCTATTTGTTTACTATTTTTATTACCATAAACACTTAGTAGGTTCTTATTAAATACTTCTGAATGAATAAAAATCTAACTTTATTTTGGTTTTATATTAATGATTTTGGGGTTGCCACCTTTTGTTCCCTGTTTTTAATTAAATGTCTTTGTTCATTAAATAACTTAAGATTATAAGTAAACACTCTCAAGTTTCAGTCCTAAATTAAGTTTTATTAAATTTGGAAATAACTATCATTAATGTGAAAGAATTTAAATTTTTTTTTATGTTTTATTAATTTTTTGGAGAGAGGGAGAGAGAGCATAAGCAGGGGAAGGGCAGATACAGAGGGAGACCCAGAATCTGAAGCAGGCTCCAGGCTCTGAGCTGTCAGTGCAGAGCCCGACACAGGGTTTGAACTCACGATCCATGATATCATGGCCTGAGCCAAAGTCGGATGCTTAACCGACTGAGCCACCCAGGTGCCCCATAACGTGAAAGAATTTTAAAACAATTTAGTTCTAAACTACGTCCCTTTACAAATGATATATCAAACAGTATGAAGTATATAGTTTTTTTTTTTTAATTCAAGTTAGTTACCATATACTGTAGTCTTGGCTTATCTTGCATATAAAAAGAAATATTGAGGTATATGAAGATCGTAATTTTTTTTCATTTGTGAGTGGGGAAAGGTAATTTATTTAGGTACACAGAGTACAGATTTTAGTAGAAAAAACAGTTAGCTGGAAATAATTAGTTAATACAACTGTTTTCTAGGTTGGGTAGACCAAGTTGCTTTTTCTATTCCAGAAATGTTTCTTACGGGCATTTGAACATTTTACACTTAGGTCTTGGGATAGGTGCAGTTGAGCTTGGTATATCATAAACACTTTACATGTCGATGTCCCACTTTGAATGAGGTACTTCTTGAAAATTCAGTGTATGGTTCTTGATTATTGGAACATGGTTGCTTTGCTGTAGGTACAAGTGTTACGACTAATTTCAATAGGAGTTACATGTTGTTGTGAAAAAGACTGGAATCTCTAAGCAAATGTTGAACTGTTGTGTTTTCCTATTGCCCTGTCTCTCTGTGATTTCATGTCACCGTGTGTCCATCATTTTATTTCAACCACTCTGGCTTTTTCTGATTTTTAAACACTCCAAGTGTTCCTAACTCAGGATCTTGTGCTTGCTGCCTTCCTGCCTGGAATATCCTTCCCCCACATCTTTGCCCGGTTGGCTCCTTCTTCTCAGTTAGGTCTTAGTTCAAGTATTGGCTCCCCTAGACACCTTCCTTATCCTTCCAGATCACTTCTATCTCATTACCCTGCTCGCATCTTCTCATGGCACTCATTACTCTCTGATATTATTCTATTAATTTGTCCCTTTTTATAATTATTGATTGCCTTTACTAGATGTTAAGTATATGAGAACAGGGGATATTGTCTCAATTACCATCATATCCTTAGTACCTAAAATGGCTCAAATATTGTTGAGTCAACAAATGTTTTCTTAATAAAACCAGTACATTTGGAATACGAAGGTAAAGTTACTTAGAAAACAGAAAGAATCCATGAGACATTAACATTTTTAAATTTTATTAAATTTGTATCTATTAAAACATGACTCTTATGGAAGATAGCACTTATATTATTTCAACTGTGTTAAAAATATCTAGCGATATGGAAAAGGAAATTGGGAGAAACGAAAAGATATGTTGTGAGTTCACAGATTTTTTTTGAACCTTAAAAAATCCCTCTAAATGTTACAATATTTATGTGCTAAAAATAAGAGTTCTGGTAATTTTTACATGAGCATTTACTAAGCTAAGTAATTTTAAAATTCCCCCAATTTATGAATTCAGATTATTGTGCAATTCAACTTTTAACGAGCAATTAAATTGCTAATCTGAAGCTACCACGCTAGTAGGATAAGACTTAAAGTTTTATTATGTTGTTATACCTTCTGAAAACACACAGGTTTGCTAACAGATATTCTGTTTCACATATGACGTGGACTACAGAGGTGAGTAATTTCTAATGAAAAGAATTAATTACTTATCCAGATAACGTATAATATTTAGCTGCCTCTTTTTGTCCCTAGGTTTCCTTTACCTAGCCATCCTGCTGCACCTCCTGAACATCTCAAGGAACCTTTGGTATACATGAGGAAAGCACAGGTTGGCTATTGTTCATTTTTCACTTTATTTTGCCATGCCAAGTTACATAATGCAGAGTGAAAAGTGCTTGTTGGTATCAGGAGTGTATGTCATTCATTACATGGAAGCCTGGGTAAGAACCCTCCAGCACAGTGTTTGCATGCTCTTCCTTTTTACTTTCAGTGACCGAGGATCACACCTGTTTAGCTGCGTAATCCTGAAAATGTGTAGAAGAAGGAAAAAATCATGTACCGTACTGGCCTGAAATTTTCAACGTGATAAAAGTATTATGTGGCAATTTATTCCTGATGCTCTGAGATATTAAAAGAATGAGATGGGAATGAACTGACTCACTCTTCCCTTAAAATTTTGGCCGTGGAAGCCAGCGATACTGATACTGTATTTGAAATATGTTTGTCCTCACAGCAGGCTGCTACATGCTCTGTTCTGTCACAGAACTCAAATGAACCTGCTATCTAAAGTAGGCTGAAACAACTACAGTTCACTTTAAAAAATGAAGTAAAATGAAGTAAACAGAAAAGCTGTAAAGGACTGTTTAAATAGGAGGTTGGTAAGTCCTGTCACATGCCCCTGACGCTCGACTGTCCGCCTCAGCACGGCCTGGTGCACCTGCCTCTACGAGGCTTCCTTGCGGTACCGGGTATGACTCTGTCGCTGCTGCCGCCGAGGGGCTTAATGGACACCACAGAGTTGACCTCTCTCAATCACGGTGTCAGAAATTATCATGGAAAATTTCAAATATACCCCAAAGAACTCCCATAAACCCATCACCCAGCTCCAGCAATTATCATCGTGGCTCCTTCTGCTACTCCTGAGAAATATCCTGCTGCTTTGAGTTACCACATTCCAAGCAGTGCATGTTAGGCAGCTTTTTATTATTCCACCATTTTTATTTTCACTTTAAAAACCTTCAAAATTAGATGGTGAAAGGAAGCAATGTAAACAAAAATCATAGAGATATTTGAGGAAATATGCCATATATTTCTATCTCTAGGTAGTGCATTTAGGTCTAGCAATCAGTATTATCAATATGTCTTAACACATAATCATTAAAATGATTCATGTATGAAAGAATTGTTTGATCTTTTGTTGTAAAGACGTAAACTCAAAAAAAAAATAAAAGGGTTGGGTCTAAATATTTTTTTGGTGAAGTTTGAAAATTTCTCAAAGGTGTAGAGAAAGTATCAGTTCTAGCATATTAGGTATAGGAAACATAACACTAAAGTTGTTTACCCATCATGACTGGAAAGAGGTAGGGAAATAATAGGTCGATGTTTCAAGCCTACCGCTGGTTGCTGAGAACACATGTGAACGGTAAGTGTATGTGTTGTATATGTACATGTATATACACACATGCCTACTACTCTCTTTTTTTTTTCCATACTTACCCACTAACTCGGGTTGACGCACTATAGTCCAACGGCCAAATCTGCCCTGCCACCTGTCTTTATACAGCTGGCAAGCTAAGAATATTCTTTTACATTTTCACCTGGCTGAAAAACCAGAGGAATAATGACATCTGTGGCCCATGAAAATGATAGGAATTAATAAAATACGTCGTATTGGAAGCCTTGTTCCTTCGTTTACTTATTGTCAGCGGGTGCTTTCGCACTACAATGTCGAGAGTTTAGTAGTTGCATAGAGACCTTATGACTTGCAAAGTCTAAAATATTTACTGTTTGCCCTTTTACAGAAAAGTTTCTCAATCCCTGCACTACATTATTCCTTCTTTAAGAGCAGGGACTGTGTTTTTTTATCCGCAACGTCTAGCCCAATGCATAGCCCATGGAACGCTCAAGAAGTGTTTGTTGAAATAATTGATTCTTTAACTGTGGCCACGCTAAATACCTCCTCTGCAGGTTAGTATCCGCCTACCTGTCCCCTTGTGTTTGTTCCTGTCTCCTTGAGTCATCTAGTTCTTAAGCTCCCTGATCTTTTGGCAGTTCTCTCCTTTTTGCACGAAGGCTACTTAGTCTGGATGGCGTAACTACCATCCCATCAGTGTTCTCCCTTGCACCTCGCAATCTCTTGCCCCGTTAGACTTCTGTTCTGCCTGCCACTCCAATCCTTAGCCTAAGGCTACCTCTGCCATCTACTGTCTTTTCCCAAACTGTGGCATACTTGGGAGGAAACTCACATGAGTTTTATGTTTACCGTGAATTCAGTCTAAATCCATTCATCTTTCAGTGGATTCATTTTGCTGCCTGTCAATCCTTTTACGATTCGTCATTCATTATCTGCTTTCCAGTGAGGTTTTCCCAGAGTTTTCCATGCTTGTGTAGCCCCTGATTCTACCTCCCTCTCACTCATTTTTAACACACGCCACTTATTTCATTAAGAACATTCAGATCATCACATTCAGGTTTCCACAGCTTCTCTCTTTGCTGCCACATCTTTTTTGCCTCCAATCCTCTATGATCAACTATCTACTGTACGTGTCTTCTGTGAAATCAAACTCAACATGTTTAAAACTGAGTCTATGGCATTATTCCTAAAATGAGCATCTCGTCCTGACCTTCCTATTTCAGTTAGTTTCATCATTACTTATAGTAATTTAGACTTGAAATATCTTTGCTATTTTCCGTATCCAAATAGTCACTAAGTTCTAGAAATTATTTCTTCCCGTGGTCTTACAGCTTTCTCTTCCTTTTTATTATTAAGGCCATTACCATAGTGATCACAGTGGTGATGAAGAGGAGGATGGCTATCTTTTATTGAGTGCTAACTTTGTTTCAGACGTTAATTCACATCCTTGTCTTATACTGACACCTCCTGATTTTCAACTTATCTCTTTCCCCATCTTCATATGTACTCTTAACACAATTAACTTTAGCTACAAGCAGATGAAACCTTATAATACATGCCACTGCCTTTTCACAAATCTTCAGTGACTACCAATTGCCCAACAAGTTCCTACCCCAAAGCGCAACATTTAGGAATTTTTAGTTTGTCCCTAACTTTCCCTTTCACTTTATCAATCTCTGCCCTCCTATAACTGTCCTTTGTGCCCTTCCAGGGGAATCATTTTGAGTTTCCCTCTTGCATCTTTTAGAAAAGAAAAGAAAACTTTTCTTATTTTGTTTTCTTGTCCTGGAAAGCTCTTTCTGCCTGCTTAGCATTAGGAAAATCCATCTATTTTGTGAGGGTCAGCTCAGATGACATCTCTTCTCTGCTATAGTTATCAGCCCTGTTGAAAAGGCTCTCTCCCTCTTTTGGAAGCACACTGTCTTTTAGCATGCTGTCGTTTTATGGTTCTTATTACAAATCGCACTCTGTGATAGCAATTTCTGTACACATCTTTTTTACTTTAGTTATAAGCCTCTTGAAAGCAGTACCAATTTTAAAACATTTTTGTAGACCCATTATATCTAGCATACTGACCTTTATGTAGTAAGAACTCAGAAAGTTTGTGTCAGATTAATAGTAAAGGCACTTGCCATCTCTTCTAGCAATTATTGTGATATTCAATTAAAAGATATTTACTTAGGGGAGCCTGGGTGGCGCAGTTGGTTAAGCGTCCGACTTCAGCCAGGTCACGATCTCGCAGTCCGTGAGTTCGAGCCCCGCGTCAGGCTCTGGGCTGATGGCTCAGAGCCTGGAGCCTGTTTCCGATTCTGTGTCTCCCTCTCTCTCTGCCTCTCTCTCTCCCCCATTCATGCTCTGTCTCTCTCTGTCCCAAAAATAAATAAATGTTGAAAAAAAAATTTTTAAATAAAAAAAAAAAAGATATTTACTTAACAGAAGACCATGGGGGAGGGGAAGGGGAAAAAAAAAAAGGTTAGAGAGGGAGGGAGCCAAACTATAAGAGACTCTTAAAAACTGAGAACAAACTGAGGGTTGATGGGGGGTGGGAGGGAGGGGAGGGTGGGTGATGGGTATTGAGGAGGGCACCTGTTGGGATGAGCACTGGATGTTGTATGGAAACCAATTTGACAATAAGTTTCATATTAAAAAAAAGATATTTACTGAATGCCTGCTAGAAGACAGTCTACCATGTGATCTGGAGATTCAGAAATAAATTAGATAAAGATTCCACCTATGGGTAACTCATGGTTTAATCACTGAAAGTGCTGTATGCTATGGGGGAGATGGCTAAGACGTTCTGTAGAAGCACTAGAGAAGACCTGGACATAGGGGATTCTTTATTAAGTAGTTCTTTGCTCTTTACAATCAAAAGAACTTAAAATAAAATTCAGTGAGTGTTTCCTTCTGCTTTTATTCAGTAAAGCAGGTTGGCAGAAAATATTTTGGAACTAGAGCCAGGAAAAAAATGTGATTTCCCCCCCCCATTAAAGTTTCATGAGTTATTTGAACTTCACTTAGCTCTCGATTGTGTCTTCAGAGTTGGGATGTAAATCAACTCTCTGCAGTTTTTGGCAGGCTAGATTGGTGTTCAATTTTCTGGGCTGATGAGGGAAACAGGCTTCTTACACCGCATCAGCATTTCCCAGAGTATTTTCTGCTGAATACTAGCTCTGAGAGATGCTCTACAAAAAAGGGTTCCATGGACAAATAAGTTTGGAAATTGAGGCCCACACTGCCTTCCTCTTGGTGAATTACTGTTTGTTTGTTTGTTTGTTTGTTTGAAAATTCGTGTCATATATTTTTATTTTTTATTGAGGCGTAGTTGACACACAGCACACTTTCAGGTGTACCACATGGTGATTTGGCAACTGTATACATTATGCCACGTGCACCACAAGGGAGCTGCCATCATCCAGGGCTATTACGGTACCATTGACTGTGTTCCCCACGCTGTACTTTTCATTCCTAGAATCACAGTTTACGATTTTTTTTTTTACAAGGGTTTTAGATGTACAGAAGGATTGAGAATATATTATAGAGTTCCCATAGATTCCATACCTAGTCTCCCCTCTTATTAACATCTTAAGTTAGTGTGCTACGTTTGTTACAATTAGTGAACCACTATCAGTACGTTATTATTCGCTAAAGTTCATACTTTATTTCCTTAGTTTTAACCTGATGTCCTTTTTCTGTTCCAGGATCCCAACCAGGACACTACATTACATTTGGTTGTCATATCTCCTTAGGCTCCTCTTGGCTATGACAGTTTCTCAGACTTCCCTTGTTTTTGATGACCTTGACAGTTTTGAAAAGTACTAGTCAGGTATTTTGTAGATTATCCCTCTGTTGGAATTCGTCTAATGTTGGTCTCATAATTAGACTGGGGCTGTGGGTTTTTGGGAGGAAGACCACAGACAGAAAGTGCCATTTATACTCATTGCATCATATCAGCATATATACTTTCCACATGGTTTACCACTGTTGATGTTGACCTTGATTGCCTGGCTTAGGTAGTGTTTGTGAGGTTGCCCCACTGTAGAGTCACTCTTCACCCCCGACACTCTTGTGTGCTCTACTCTTTGGAAAGAAGTCACTATTTATGGTTCACACATAAGGAGAGACAGTTATATTCCACCTCCCTGAGCTGGGAATCTCTACAGAAATTATTTGGAGTGTTTCTGCATGGAAGAGTTCTCCCTCTCTTCCATGCAGAAAGAGAACTGGGGAGTTATTTATAATAAATTTGTTTGTTTGTTTATTTATTTATTTATTTATTTATTTATATCACTATGTTATTTATTTATGTCACTATGAACTTGTGGGTGTTTATTTTAGTCTTTGCATTTTAATTTAATGCTTCCTTAATTTTGTTGCATACAATTTATTTTGGGATGCTAAGGCTCAGGGATGTTCTGCAGTAAAGAAACTGTTTAATTTTATTTAATCCAGTGTTGTTCAAATTTATGTGACCACAGAACCCTATTTCCATGTAAAATAATTTGGGAATTCTTTTGCCACACCTTTTAGAGAAAGGAATATTTGAAGAAACTGATACACAATGGGTGATTAAATTATGATTTTTTTTTTTTTACAAAATAATACTAGTGAGCACACAGAGCTCTAATTATGTGCCAGGTACCATTCTAGTGCTTTACAACTATTTACTCATTTAATATTCATGACAAGCCTATAAGGTATGTTACTCTTATGATCTTACATAGGTCCAATTTCACAAAACTAGTAGGTGGAAAAGTTGGGATTTCAACCTGGATAGTCTGGCTCTAGAATCTGTACTACCTGATGATATTCAGCGTATTTCTCTATCCAGTCCAGAAATGCTCAAACTCAAGATGTGCTATTGATTGAATTTACCCAGTTCTCTGTCAATCTAGGAACCTAAACAAAAAAGAGAATTTTGTTGGTTTTATGTGACTTCAATTCTCATCCTCTTCCTAATTAGTCTTTCTGCCTTCTGTATTGTCACTCCATTTCTTAAAACTTCCCAGACTTTTAGGATACAACCGCAACTCCTTATTTTTGTTTACAAGACTGTCAACGATCTTGCTTCTTTTTACCATTCGAGTCTTACCTCTCGCCTCTTCACACTGTTCCTCACCATCCTGCCAGTCCCCTGCCCGCTTCCACACACATCTGCCTTCTCTCTTTAATCATACTTGACCTCCTTCAGTTGTTCCTCCAGGAGAACTGTTGCACATGCCATTGCTTCTGTGTAAAACTGCCTCCCCACAAATCTCACGTATTTCTGGCACATTCATAGGTGTCAGGTGACATGATCCTTTCTTTAGGAAGGCTTTCTACGCCTGAGATCTCAGATTCCCAGGTACTTTTTCTGTGTCTCTATTCCTCCATACAGGAGGCACTCTATACTTCCTACCATAGTACTTGGGTTGTCTGATTATCATCTAGATTCTGCAGTCTCTGGGAAGCAGGATCAGGGTCTCTCTTTTCACTACTGTATCCTCAACATCTGGCATAGTGCCTGCCTCATGGCAGATGCTCAGTAGATATATATTTTTTAATGATGAATGAATTGAATACAAAAAATAGAAAATGTTCCCTCTTAAAAATATGTACACCCCGGGGCGCCTGGGTGGCGCAGTCGGTTAAGCGTCCGACTTCACCCAGGTCACGATCTCGCGGTCCGTGAGTTCGAGCCCCGCGTCGGGCTCTGGGCTGATGGCTCAGAGCCTGGAGCCTGTTTCTGATTCTGTGTCTCCCTCTCTCTCTGCCCCTCGCCCGTTCATGCTCTGTCTTTCTCTGTCCCAAAAATAAATAAATGTTGAAAAAAAAAATATGTACACCCCTTTCCTACTAATTCCACTTCTAACATCTAGGATCTTATCTAAAGGGAAGAATCAGGGAAACACAGAAATTTATGTTCGTGATGATATTAAAAAATTTAAAGGAATCTAAATAACAATAGGGTTTGCATATACAGCAGGGTATCTCCAAAAGACAATGTTCTACAGGCATCAACAATGTTATTTTTAAAAGAATATAATGAAATAGGAAAGTATATGATATTATCTTAAGTGGATAAAGCAAAATATAAAACAATATAATTCCACTAATTAAATATCTCAATCGTACACATACATGCATAGAAAAAAATGAAAGAAGAGAACAAAATATTAATAGTAGTTATTTTTGGCTGATGAAAATTTATGGATGCTTATTTATTATTCTATTCTTTACATATTGCTTTTTTTTTCAAATTATCTTGAATAAATGTGTTACTTTTATAATCAGAGAATTACTAAAATCTTCTTCCATTAGAAAGCTGGGTTATAACTATTTTGCTTTATTTTTTCAGAGTGAAGGAAATAATTTTTTAATTTTATAATTTCATAGTTTTTTACATGCTACATTAGATGGCTTTTAAAGACTTCTTATTTACGTTCATTGTTATAAAAAAGTAGCAAGGCAATCAGTAATACCCAGTTAGAGATTTCAATACAGTTTTGATTCTTGTGTAAATTTTTTGCCTCTCATGGTTTAGAAATTAATTTATTTATAAAACTCTTGAAGTCCTTTGACTTAATACCATAGATTCCAATTATTAGGGAAACTGATTTGAAGGCAACAGTAATTTCATTTGGAGAGGATATGGGTTTGGGTAAAAGGTAATGTCTTCCTATTAAACATTTTAAATGTAAAAGGGCATTCATTTTCCTTTTAAATAACATTTTAAAGCTTTATTTTGTGAGTCTTTGGGTAGAAACCATTATTTTCTTTGTATCTTGTATTAGTGCACTGTCATTTCTCAATAATTCATTTGCCACTTTTACTTCTTTTTCTGTGTGTGCTGAAGATATGTTGACATTTTTATTTAAATAATAGCACAGGAATAACTGTGATTTTTTTGAGCACTTTTTTTTGAGACTTAGGGAGTATTTAGTCACCTCTACAGACAGAGCCTGCGAAAAGTTTAGTATCTATAAAACTGGAGTTGAAGTGGACCCTTCAGGTTTATCTCATTCAACCTCTGGAGTTCATTTCCTTTTGCTTGAGTACTTCTGAAGACAAGGAACTCACAATTTCACTAACTTAAGTCATTTTGGTTAAGCCTTTTTACTTGTTGGAAAGTCTGTTTCTTGTATTAAGCGATCATAGGCTCCTTATAACATTTACTCACCGATCATAGTCCTGTGCTTGACACGTAGAAAGCACTCAGTACATGTCAGTTAGTGAGGCAGCGAGTAAACGAATGAATGAATACCCTGAAAGAAAAGATTCAAGTTCTGCAGGGAACCCACAGGGTGACCCAGCTTGCGAGCAGCCACTTGCTTCACTTTGGATTTCCCCTCATTGTCAGGAAATTCTATTCCCGTTTCTGATATCTATAGAAACGACTTCTCTGACTACTTGGGATTTCTATGGAGATAACTTCTCTGACCATCTGACTGAAGTTCTTGCAAGGGGTACCTTGGAAAAGCCCTGCTATCCTTGTCATTGTGTCATCAATATGGAACGGGGAATGGGGAAGACGTAGCGAACCACTGGAGTTACTTTTCCTTCAATGTTTTTAGACTTTTAAAGGAAGTGGTATGTGCTCCATTAACAGCTAGAAGTTTTGACACACTCAGCTTCCTGTTTCCTTGCTTATTCTTTTAAGTTCTTTCTATACGTGTGGCATATGGGCTGATAATAGCCCTCGTGAACTTTTTGAACCTATCTCATGTTACTTGTGTATCTGTCTTCTCTTCCCCACCCCCACCACAAAAGTGATGTGGTTCTTAGGGACAGGGATGCCGTTTGATTCATTTTTACTGACATGTGTTTAATAGGTGCTCGGTAAATGTTGAATCAATATCTTTTCACTAGTTGAATTTTCAGGTATAACACCTCATGTCCCCCTGTTCTAGCCCCAAAAGTCCAGTTTTTCTGAATTTAATATTCTTTTCCTCTTTTCTCAATTTTTAGTCATTCTCTTCTCTTCTGGATGATTTCTAAGTTCCTGCTTCAATTATAGAGCACATAGAAATGATAATTGAATAAAGATCTGCTCAATATTGCTTCAATTCTTAACACTCTTTTTCATTCTACTTTTATGTGTTCTTTTTGAAAGTTTCCTCATTCATGATACATATCTCACAGGATTAATAAAGCAATGTATGTAAATTTTGTAGCTCTTTTCCAAACTCTTTCAGAATGCTTTCTAACGTCTGATCTCTTTTCTGTGTAACTTTTTTTTGGTAACTATTTTCTCTTTATATTACATCTCTAGTTACATCTAATTGAATTACATTCAATTTCAAGTTGGTGAATTGAAATATTTGGTAGCCTGGGATATCCATTTAGGAGAACTATGATTAATCATTTAAAAATTGTACTTTATAGAAAATACCTGAATGAGATGTTTTTACCAAAATAAATATTTTTAAATGTTTATTTTTGAGAGAGACAGAGTGAGCGAGCAGGGGAGAGGCAGAGAAAGAGGGAGAGAGAGAGAATTCGAAGCAGGCTCCAGACTGTCAGCATGAAGCCCGACATGGGGCTGGAACCCACAGAGTGTGAGATCATGACCTGAGCCAAAATGAAGTTGAATGCTTAACTGACTAAGCCACCCAGGAACCCCAACTTTTTATTTTTATTTCCAAGAATTATTGTCTTTTAATCAGTTCAAGAGCCCTTTTTATGTGTGGTTGAAAAATGAGAGTATTTGGAATCATAATTCAATAGTAGCAATTTGGTTCTTTATATATAAGGTAAATTATACAAATCCAGGGATTGGATTTTTAGTCTTCATGCAGATTTTATTTTTATATAATGATTGAATTAAAATTGCTTTTATTTTTTTTTAAATAAGCTTTCTTATACCTCCTTCCACCACAGTCTGGAGTGGGGGAAGCAAGTGACAGAAGGCTTATTAGAGAAAATAGTATTTCAACCTGAGACTTGAAAGTTCAGTAAGATTTATTCAGATAAATTGAGGATAAGGATGTTGGAGGTAGAAGTAGGTTATGTTGCTATAATTAATGTTTGATCGTGAATAAGTTTCTCAAATGTGTTTTAAGTCGTGCATCTAAGAGAAATACTCACAGTAAAAAAAAAAGAAAGAAAGAAAGAAAGAAAGAAAGAAAGAAAGAAAAGAAAAGAAGCCAGTAAATGGGGTTAGTTTTGTGAGTATTTAATAGAATTTATGAAGAGTATTCTTTTATTCCTAAAAATCTATTTCTATATATTTAGTAGACTAAGGCTTATACACTTCACACAGCTCTGTATTTCTCATATAGATGAATGCTTTTTTGTTCATTCATTGCTTAGGCCATCGTATCAAAAATTTTTTAAATGCTTTCAGTATTACTTAGAGTAGAAATCTGTGTAATCATCTAGCATCTATCATGTGCTAGACAAAGTGTGACTATGTGCTGTGATGGGTGAAGAAAGGGGCCGAGAGAGACTATAAGCACAGGCACCTGATACCATCTGGGGTGAGCGACCAGGAACAGAAGGCTTAATAGAGGTGAAGGTCTGAAAGGTGAATAAGGTGTATTCAGATAAAGTAGGAGTAAGTATGTTGGGGTTGGGAGTAGAGCATGGAGAGTATATTCCGGGTACAGAGGGTAATGTATTTAAATATGTGTGTTAAAGAGGGAACTATGAACGATGAAAGCTATAGTAAAGCTATCAATTATTGAATGATTATTATCATTATTAGGTCACTGTTCCAAGCACTTTACATCTTTAATCTTTATAACAACCACAGAAAGGAGCTATTATTATTATTATTCTACTTGTGTTGACTGGATGGGATGTAACTGTACATTATCAATAATGTAATATATAGTTCTCTTCTTTTCTCCTCTCTTGGTCTAAGTTTTGGAGCTTAGGTATTATTTTATTTTGCTTTCAGTGAGTTAGAAGTAGCCTAAAGGCATATTTTAGTTAAAAGACCAAAAAATATTGGCATTTTACCTTGGTGTTAAAAAGAAGGATTTACTAAAATATGGTATATGTGGATAATCAATTCATGACTGACTATTAAAAAGAACTCCTTTTTTCAAGTTTACAAGAGATCTAGGGGATAGATCTTACTGTGAAAAACCAGTAAGACAAATCCATATCATGACACATTCTAAAAGGTAACTGGTCTGGAGTCCTCAAAAAAGTCAATATCCTGAAAAAGAAAAGGACAAAGAGACTCTAGATTCAGCTACATGGAAAGAGACATAACAACCAAATGTAATGTGATGCATACATTTTCAATGGATTCTGGATTTTAAAAAACTATAAAAGATATTTTGGGGACAACTGGAAAAGTTTGAATGTGGGCTGAATAGTATGTGATATGAAATATTATTGCTAATTTTCTTAGGTGTGATAGTGGTATTGTGTTGATGTAGGAGAAGGTTCTTATTAGAACATTCATGCTGAAGTATTTAGGACTGAAATGTCATGTTAGGAAAAATTACAGTATAATAATTTCTATAAAGTTTTATTTTCACTAGGTTATTAATGGGATTTCTGAGTATCAAACGTTTACAAAATACTTAAATGTAATTTACCTTTTTATTATCTGCTATTTTTTCTTAAAATGTTTATCACCCTATGACTTGCTGATTGCTTCCTCTTCTCCTTTTTTTTTTTTTGATCTGTCCTCATTTCCATCTTCCTCTAGAAAGTCAGTTCCGTGAGAACTGAGACTTTCTGTTCATGGCTTAATTCACAGCACCAAGGGTAGTATCTGGCACATAGTAGGCAGTAATTAACATTTGTTGAGTGAACTAATGAATGAAGATAACCAATCTCAACCAAACTTACCATTTCTATATAACTCATAATATCTTTCATTTGTTAAAAATTCGTTTTGGTATTGTTAACCAGAAACAATAATGAGTTGTTCTCTATATTTCAGGGAAGTTGGGAAAAAAGAATTTTGAAGAGTTTAAATAGTATGTGCACTGAACTGAGTATCCCATTGGCACGAAAGGTACTTTTATTTTTATTTTTTTTTTCAAAAGGTACTTTTAATATTTAAATATTTTATTGTGAATCGAGTGCTAGAAGTACCACGAAGTTGTAATTGTTAGGCAGATTTATCTCTCTTTAAACAGTATATCAGTTTGTTTTGAAACAAAAATCTGTAAAAGGACAATTACGTGGATGTACTGTATATAGATTTCTATTATATAGGCTGTAGTACTTTTTGTAATGAACATATCTTGAGAATAAATAAAAATACAATATATAATCTACTTATAGATTATTTAGAGATTTGGCTGTAAAGGTTATACATGTTATAAATGCACTTGAAAATTTTTAATTACCTTTGGTCTCCTTATTTTTGGCTAATCAGCACAATAGCCATATGTTTTGAATACGAGATGGAGTTTAGGCATGTTATCCTCTTATAATAGCCAATATGGTACCATCTTTCAGTGTTAACATAGGGAATGGAAGGATGATTGGTCATCTCTCTGCAGAACTATTTAGTTCTAGTAGTAGTATCATTAGATCTAAAAGATCAAATTCTCAACATTTGTCTGTCACTGTGGGCTTTGAGGGGGAAGATAAAAAGGGAGAGAAAAGCCACTCGAGGAATGCTCTGGATTCTTTTTGGCTGCTCACGAGTAGGAGAGAAGAAGTTTCTCTTCGCTTTATTTTCCCTACCTGCTATTTATTCCTTGCTAGTAGACAGGATATAGTGGATGAACTTTAGATAATCTCCAAGGACAAGTCATGGAAGGCACCAGAAGGATGGTATTTTAAAAAAGGATAAATTTCTGTGGAAAACTGCCTAAGTATGTAGTATTGTGTAATATACTGTCTTTCATGTAGGAAGATGATGCTACTGACCCACAGTCATACTCTCTTGGCCAGTCCCCCTTGCGATGCATTTCTGAGGTTGCTGGATGGGGTAAGAGATGTAGTATGTGGCTAAGGAGCAGTTTTTCTTTATGAAATTTACTGGCCTATAGAGATCATTTCTCTTCTTTTCTTGGACTCTTTAGCACCATATTCTAACTGAGCCATTGAGACTAGATATAATATCATAGTTAAATAACAAAAGTTTAAGAATAATTCCAAAAAAAGTTCACCATGTGCGGTGAAGTGATTTTTTTCTTATGTTATGGTAGCTTATTCAACCTTTTAGATAAGTTATTCTTATTTTTCAGCTGCATTGCTAAGCTTCACAAAATGAAACCAATTTTAAAATTACCTTTTTTAGAGGCCAGTTGGAGAACAGAAAGAACTTCTCAATAAATGGAATGAAATGGGAACTGATGAACCAGGTATATGAGCAACCTTTTTCAAAATCTGGTAGTAGGAAAGATTGCCTTCTTAATTGTGGATCCAAAGCAACAATATTAGCAATTCTTTTGGAAAGATAGCCATTTTCCTTCCCCACTAATTACTGTCATCTACTTTGTTTGCTTAAACTTCTACCGTGCAGTTTAAAAATCCCTATCTTTGGGGGCACCTGGGTGGCTCAGTTGGTTAAGCGTCCAACTCTTGATTTTGGCTCAGGTCATAATCTCACAGTTCGTGAGTTCAAGAGCCGCATCAGGCTCTGTGCTGACAGCATGGAGCCTGCTTGGGATTCTCTCTCTCTCTCTCTCTCTCTCTCTCTCTCTCAAATAAACATTTAAAAAAATTTTTTTTAATTCCTAACTTTCACCAGTGTTTTATAATATTTTGAGAATATTTAAGTCAATTATCCTTTTTAAAACAGCATTTGAAAACATTTTTATAAAAGAATAGATTAAATCATTCAATGGATTTCTTAGATTCGTAATTAAGGTAAATATTTTTCAAGCTTTAATAACATTGAGATGTTAAAAATAGGTTAAGTGGTAAAAAGTTTTGAGACTTCTAAAATGTTTTTAAGAATTTATTTTGGCTCATTTTAATGGTTAAAATAGAGTCAATTTTATAAACATATAATGGGTGACAGCTATGTCTCATTTACTGTGATCAATAGATGCATAGAATTGTATTGGTAGACATGTACATAATCCCTCAACACTCCTCTTTAAAAATAAGCATGGGGAACCAGGCAAGAAATAAGTACTGTAATAGAGAAAGCAGTGTGTTATAGAAATTCAAAAGGGAGAACAGTTTAATACAACTAGAGGAATTCACTAAGAGTGTATTATTTGTATTCTAGGTACTTTGAGAATTCTCATATAGAACTTTGTTATACTGACATTGTGTTTTCAATTCAGTTATAAATTTATTATAAATTTATGAGGGTAGACACTTAATTTCTTCTAGAATAGGTCATTTAAGCCGTCAAGGGAAGAGATTGCCCTTTCATTTTTGTGTTCCCAGTACTTAACACAATGTATGACAAATTATTGATACTCCGCAAATGTCTGAATTAATACAGCTCCACGGCCACATGTGAAAGAATCATTAACGTTGTTATTAATAAGGATTCTTATATTAACTGAAATGTTGTTCCAATCTATCTTAATTCCAGATTTAAGCCTTTTCAGACCTGTTTATGCACCCAAGGATTTTCTGGAGGTAGGTTGTATTGGATCAATATAGGTATATTAATGGGAATAAAGTGGAAGAAATGATATGAGGATGTCTCCAGGCAGAGGAATCACCAAGGACAAAGCCCTAGAACCGTAGAATGACATGATCAGATTTGTGCTTGAAAATTGCTTTTGGAAAATACACTGGAATGTGGAAAGATTAGAGGCAAGTAAATCAATTAGGAAGATTTTGATTAAAAAATACTAACTGTAAATCAGGTAGCTTGTAAATCAGGTAGCTTGCTGCCTAGCACCTATAGATGCTCAGTGAATCTTTTCCCTTTTTAGTCCTTCCCTGTTCTAGTAGTTTAGACAAGACACGAAAAAGGTCTGAACTAAAGAACAGTGTTGGAACTGGATAGAATTCAACAGATTTGCAAGGGATTTTTAGGAGGGTTTGGGAACTGATTAGATGTGGGGAGTATGAGAAAAAGAAAAGATAGGGGCGCCTGGGTGGCTCAGTCGGTTAAGCGTCCGACTTCGGCTCAGGTCATGATCTCTCAGTCTGTGAGTTCGAGCCCCGCGTCAGGCTCTGTGCTGACCGCTCAGAGCCTGGAGCCTGTTTCAGATTCTGTGTCTCCCTCTCTCTGACCCTCCCCCGTTCATGCTCTGTCTCTCTCTGTCTCAAAAATAAATAAAAGGTTAAAAAAAATTAAAAAAAAAAAAGATAATGAAGATCTTTAAGTGTCTAGATTGGGTAACTGGGCAGAGAGGTACTACGTCCTTGGGATAGAGAATGCAGGAGAAGGAACAGGTCTGTTAATAAAGATGATGAGCTTAATTAAGTTTGAGAAACCATATCGAAAATAAAGTAGGTTAGAGCTCACTAATTATTTTAACGGACTTACCTTTGATTCCGCTCTTTCTCTTGTACCTTACACGTAATCAGCAAATCCTGCCACTTTACCTTCAACATGTATCCGGAATTCAACTACTCCTACCTCCATCCTCCTAAGGTCTTCCTGCTCTACCCTTGCCCACCTAGAATTTGTTCTCAGTGCAGTTTCCAGAGGAAGCCATTTCAGTACCATTCCAAATAAGCCATCTCTGGTATCCGGCAGCTTCCCATCTCATTCTACTTAGAAGCCAAAGTCATGACAGTGGTGCGAAACATGCTATTTGATCTGATACCCCATTAGTTCTCTGAGTTCATCTCCTATTACTTTCCCCTGATTTGTTATACTCCATTTACTTTAGCCTCCATGCTTCCCCCTGGCTTCCTGCCATCTGAGGGCCTCCGCTCCTCTTCTCTGCTTACAGTGCTTTTTCCCCAGATACTTGTCTGCACGTTCCTTCACTCCTTATGTCTTTGTTTAAATGTCACTTTCTCAACAAAGCCTTCCTCTGCGGCTCCCTGCTTGGAACTCCTTTTAGCCTTTTCCTACTTTGTTTTTCTTTATAGCATTTATCATTATATAACATATTATTTTTCTGTTTTCCTTATTGCCTGCCTTCTCCTATTAAAAGTAAGATTCACGGGGCGCCTGGGTGGCTCAGTTGGTTAAGCATCCAACTTCGGCTCAGGTCATGATCTCGCGCTCTGTGAGTTCAGCCCCGCGTTGGGCTCTGCTGACAGCTCAGAGCCTGGAGCCTGCTTCAGATTCTGTGTCTCCCTCTCTGTCTGGCCCTCCCCCATTCATGCTCTGTCTCTCTCTGTCTCAAAAATAAATAAACGTTAAAAAAAAAAAAGTAAGATTCACAAGGGCAGGAGCTTCTCATTCTGTTTTGTGCACTGTTGCAACAGTTACAGAGTCCGATAATTGAAGACTCCACAAGACTTCACAGGATGCAGCCACAGAAGGCATTCTTTCAGCAAGAGAAAGAAAGCACATGCAAATACGAAGAGATCCAAACTTCTAGGCTCAGCTCCCAGGGCTCTTTCTCAGTTGCAGAGGATGAGCTTTGTCTTTGGAGTAGGAACCGCTAAGAGACAAGTGAGATACACTGGTCTTGGGAGTCAAGGCGCAAGGAAGGTTTCCCAGGGGTTTTTATATCCCCACTGGTAAATCAGGAGAAGCTAGCAATCTGTGCATTTTCAATAAGCAATGTGAAACTGATATGGACTGCCTCCCTGGGACATTAAGTAGCACATTATAAATGACTAGTTCGTGTATTTCATCCCATCTTGGCCAAGGGTCACCACCAGACATCCAGGTGTCTCTGGAGATAAGCATGGAGCTACCACAAACCAGCTGCAGGTTAATTGCTCTATCTCCAACAGATAGAACGGTGCTTAGCACATAGCTGCTCAACAAATAGGCGCTGAATGAACGAGTAAATGAATGAATGAGTTTTTCACATTTTACTTTTATTTCTTTTCTGAACTGTTGTCTTTGAAACTAGTTTGCCAGCATAAAATATACAGTTGATGCTTGAACAACACGAGGGCTCTGACCCCCTGCATGGTCAAAAATCCACATATAACTTTTGACTCCCCCCAAACTTAAGTAGCTAAGTACTACTGTTGACTGGAAGTCTTACTGATAACACAGCCAACACATATTTTGTATGTCAATATGCATTATATACTGTATTCTTACAATAAGTGTGCTAGAGAAAAGAAAATATTAAGAAAGGCATAAGGAAAAGAAAATACATTTACAGTACTGTACTGTTAAAAGTCTGCATTTGAGTTGAAGTTCAAACTTGTGTTGTTCAAGAGTCAACTGTCTTCTTTTAATTCTAAAGAGAAGTTAGTTTGGTCAGAAACTGCCTTTATGGTGATGGCATTATTTCTCTTAGCTTGTTAAAGATTTCTCCCAAACTCTTCCCTTTTCTAGCACTTCAGGGCTGAAATTTCATGTAATTTTTGTATGACTATCTTTAACTGTTCTCTCCTTAATGGTCATAACGTTCTGTTTCTTTCGGGACTGTTGATGAATTGATCCTTTTATTATTTATGCTGAAATTCTTCTTTAACTAAAGAACATTTTCTATAATCATATCTGTATAGCTTCTGCATTTCTAATATGTTCTCTTTTCTATTACCCATGTGTCCATAGTTTCCCTTTCCTATCCTACGTGTGTGAGGTTTCTGTGCAGTATGATACACGATTTATGTTATTAGGCTAAAATTGCATTGTTCCCTATTAGTCTGCATTTAGCGCTGTTGACTCTTTGCTATATTTGTATTATTTTTTTTTTTTAACAAATACTATTGACATTTTTAGCCTTAATTTAGTGCTTGCAGTTTTGGGAAACTGTTTTGGCATTTTAGCACATTCCATTTTATCAGTGATTAGTTATCAGCTCATTAATTCCTTCCTCAGATGTGATAGTGTTTCTGTCACCATAATCTCCTTTGCTGTATTCTTTTTATTTTTTTAAGTCTATTTTAAAAAATTCAATTAATTAACACACAGTATAATATTAGTTTCAGGTGTGTAAAATAGAGAGCAGCACTTCCATACAGCACTCAGTGCTTATAACAAGTGCACTCCTTAACCCCATCACCTACCTATTTACGTCATGCCCCCACCCGCCTCCCCTCTGGTAACCATCAGTTTGTTCTCTGTAGTTAAGAGTCTGTTTCTTGACTTGCCTCTCTCTTCTTCTTTCCCTTTGCTCCTTTGTTTTGTTTCCCAAATTCCACAGACGAGTGAAATCACATGGTATTTGTGTTTCTTTGACTGACTTACTTCGCTTAACATAATACTCTCTAGCTCTGTGCATGCCATTGTACTGGATGCTTGATTTTTTTTTTCTCAAGAGTTCCAATTTAAAAATATTTTTTATTATAATTATTCTTTCCCCGAAATGTATGTTATTGTTAGAAAAACAAGAAAATATGCATAAGGAGAAAACTTTTAAAAAATTACCTTTAATGCTGTCACATAGCAAAAACCATTACGTTACTACACATTTTTTAACTTCATATATTGTGAATATTTTTTCATGTTATTATATATATTACCTGTGTTAATAGAGGCAAATTACATTATATTTTATTATATGAATTAACCACAATTCATTTAAGTAACTCCCTCTAATGGAATGTTTAAGTTGTTTCACATTTTTCTGTAATAAATAGTACTTCATTAACATTCTTTCTGCACTGTCTTTGCAAACATCTTAATTATTTGTACTTATAGAATTATTTGTACTTAATTGTACTTATAGAAGTGCAATTCCTACATAAAGGATATGTAAATATCTAAGACTTTTTTGACCTGCCTAATTTTAAAAAGTATATAAATTGTTAGTTTGGCTTCTGAATTTTTTTTTCCTTGTGGGTTTGATTTAGAGGCGATACTCTGCAATATTATTCTACTATTTTTCTAAAAATCTTGTCAATATCTGTTTTTTCAAAGGGCTAGAATTGATTCTGAAATTTTTTCTGGCAAATATTACAATCAAGCAATTTTGATCTTTCTGTCACCTTCCCTGGTTAAATATTCAAGCAGCTTTGATTTTTTATTACCATCAAAATGTTTTTCATTCTAACTAAATTCTTTTAGACTTTTATATGGTAGATCATCAGAATATTAAATTTAAGGCATGTTTATGATATTTTAACATTTCAATATAATTTTATAGTTTTTTAGAATGTAATTAAAGTACATACATAGCCCCAAATAGTTTTTAATTTTGTGGTGATACACCAAGAATATCACTGCCAATTTTATAGGTGTAAACATCCTATAAAGAAACTAACCAATTCTGTTGGATTTGTTTTTAAAGGTGTTAATTAATCTTCGCAACCCAAATTATGAAAATGGTGATTCTCTTAGTTTCAGGACTCATTTGGGTTTAATCCAAGTTCCTCTGAAAGTAAAAGACATCCCTGAATTGGTAAGTATCAGCATTTCAAAATATTGCATATTTTAGAAGACAACCATTAGAGAAACATTTTAGTGCTGCAAATATCTAAAACAATAGGGCTGTCTGCTCATTAAATAATGAAGTGAAAACTTCTTTTTTATTGTAAATATGTTATATAGAGAGTGAGTTACTTTGCTAGTAGGACTAAAGATGAGTTTTCATGCACTTATAAATGCTTTTGCTTTTTCCTCATTTTAATCAAAAACAAAGATTTATAAGACAGCTTGTTGGGATTTAGGTACATGATATATGACAATAAAATTGATTGAGGGTCGCCTGGGTGGCTCAGTCAGTTAGGTGTCTGAGTCTTGATTTTGGCTCAGGTCATGATCTCATGGTTCATGAGTTTGAGTCCCACATTGGGCTCCGTGCTGCTTGCACAAAGCCTGCTTAGGATTCTCTCTCTCTCTCTCTCTCTCTCTCTCTCTCTCTCTCTCTCTCAAAAATAAACTATTAAACTTAAAAAAAACTGATTGAAATAAGTTGTGAATTTTATTAAGAATATTTAAAGAATGTACATTGTATTTAATTCAACCAACCTGTATTAAGCTTATCAAAATGAGGCACTGAAGGAGATAAAGGGAAAGGAAGATGAGTTAGAGACGGTCTTTGCTCTGGAAACTGTCACATTTTGGTGAGGAAGTTAGTTTTAAAATAGAGCAATTATAGAAAGGTGGGGAGAATTCCTGAATGGAGCTAAGAAATTATCACTCCTGGGGCACCTGGGTGGCTCAGTTGAGCATCTGATTCTTGATTTCAGCTCAGGTCTTGATCTCATGGTTTGTGAGATTGAGGCCCCCTCCCTGTCCCAGCCCAAGCTCTGCACGGACAGTGTGGATCCTACTTGGGATTCTGTCTCTGACTCTCTCTGCCCCTTGCCCCCTCGTGTGTGTGTGTGTGTGTGTGTGTGTGTGTGTGTGTGTGTGTGTTCATGTTCTCTCTTTCTCTCTCTGTCTCAAAATAAATAAACATTAAAAGAAAGAAATACGAAATTCTCACTCCTTCTTTTGTTAATCACCCAAAACAATAAGGAGCACAGAAATTTAAATACCGCCTTTGGTGAAACTAGCAAACAATGTGTAGCTCTGTTAGCGTGTCAGGTTGGAGAACTGGGGGGAGAGTGGTACGTGGCTTAAACATGGAGGAGGGTCAAGCCCTACTGCGTCTCTCTAAGAGGTAGGAGGTGCGGGTGAGAGGCATGTCAATAATCACTCAGCTGTACATCTTCCTTGTTTTGTTTTGCTTTATTATGCTGGAGTTGGATCTTACAGACATTTTTCTTTCACTAACTGGCTTGATGTTAGGCTTTATCAATAGAGGGTTCTGGAGGGACACCACAAGACTGTAACCAGAGAAAGGAGCTTCCCTTGTGGTCCCTGTGTTCAGAAGCCAGCAGATCAGCATGCAGAAGCCAGCTCCAGACTGTACCCTCTGACGAGTTTCTTCACCAACCTCCCACCCCTGCACGCATTTCCTGGGGCAGCCATTTTCTTTCCTTGAAAGACTGAATCTCATGGAATCTAAAACAGAAAACAAACCAACAAAAACCAGAAATAAACTCACAGATACAGAGAACAAACTGGTGGTTGACAGAGTGGAGGGGGATGAGGGGGTGGGCAAAATAGGTGAAAGGGATTAAGAGGTACAGACTTCTGGTTACAAAATAAATAAGTCACAGGGCTGAAAAGTACAGCATAGAGAATACAGTCAGTAATAGTGTAATGACTTTGTATGGTTACAGATGGCAACTACAACTTATGGTGAGCATTTCATAAAAAAAAAAAAGTCTAAATCTCTGTCTTGAGGACAAGGAGAACCCTTTCCTGAGTTGTTGGTTCCCTTTTCATCAGTCTAGAAGTCATAGTTACTTTCTGCATCATCTAATTTAATTCTATTTTTCCCTGTTCACATTTCTGGGATGATTTCTATTTTCCGGCTGGATACTGACTGATACAAGAAGCAAGATGATTTTCTCCATAGAACTTTGGAAAGCCTCAAGAACACCACATGATATAGAAAGCCTTGGTGAGCCACAGGGTTGAAAATGAGACTGTGTGAAAGTCTATATCAGGAGAGAGTAGACCCCCATACTCCTACCAGCTTGCATATTCAGGTGACTTCTCCTTCCCCACGGGAGACCAGAGACAGGTTCTTTAGAGAAAAAGAATCATAAAGGCTAAGAATTTAGCCACTTCAGATTTATTTTTTTTTTTTTCAAAGTTTATTTATTTTTGGGACAGAGAGAGACAGAGCATGAACGGGGGAGGGGCAGAGAGAGAGGGAGACACAGAATCGGAAACAGGCTCCAGGCTCTGAGCCATCAGCCCAGAGCCCGACGCGGGGCTCGAACTCACGGACCTTGAGATCGTGACCTGGCTGAAGTCGGACGCTTAACCGACTGCGCCACCCAGGCGCCCAAGCCACTTCAGATTTAGAGCAGTACAAGAATGAGGCACTGTTTTGAAAACAGAGGAATTAAGTGAGAGTTGACCAAATGGCGGGCTAATATCCTCATCCCCTACCTCCATCACTATGCCTGCAATTCTCTCCCCCCTTGCATCTTATGCCCAATCCTTGCAGACATAGCTTCCAGTCAGTTGTTTATTGCCTCGTTCCTAAATATGACCTACCAGCCCAGGATCTGCAGATATTTGAAATTTTCCAACTTGAAAGGCAGACACCAAAACTAAAAAAAAAAAATGTTTTAAAGCCAGTTTAGGGAATGAGTACTTATCATGAGCTTTAATAATGGTTTCAGGTTTGAATTTATGTTCACACTCACAGGATACAATAGGTCATAACCTGGCGTCAGATTCACTTAGATTTGTAGAATAATACAGGGCAGAAAACAGCATGTCAGTATGTCAGGTAGCTTTTCTCCAGGAGTCCTTACAGCCAACCCTATGCTGCCTCCAGCCCCCACAAGGAAGGCAGGCAATTGTAAGTGACGAAGTTGCCTAGGTACAACAAAGGGACGTCTTACACAGGATAGGAACTGTTTCTTGTAATGCACGTGGACATAGCATCCAGGGCCTCTCGAGACACCACAGCAGGCAGCTAAGGCCTGTGTTTTCCAATAGATTTTTATAGTCCACTCAAAGTCTTCTGTTTCAGATGTAATTTATCATCAAGGGTCATATTTTTTTCAGAAATTGCATTGCTTAGTAATGTAGCTGGCATTCCTAGCCACAATTCGTGTGTGTGTGTGTGTGTGTGTGTGTGTGTGTGTGTGTGTGTG